TCCTGTATTGCAGTATTGTTTGTCCTGTATTGCAGTATTGTTTGTCCTGTCCCCTGATGCCCTATCCTGCAACTGCAGCATAAGAATTTCCTTGTGATCCTTGGAACACATGTGACAATAAAACTTCAAAGTTGTTTGTTTCGGTACATCAGTGTTCAGGAAAATGGAGTGGGAATTCAAACTTGTAGGTACTGGGGATAATGTGCCTTGTGTCCCTTTCTGATTGGCTTGTCTTTCAGAGGCTTCAGGCCAGCTTGAGGTACAGCTATTAGTTACCACTTCGCGGCCCTGCAGAGTTTCTGTGAGAGCCGCTTCCTTTCTTTATGTCGGTCCTCATGGAGATTAGGAGGGGATCAGCGTGTGCTGGTTCAGGTTACTTGTGGTCAGTGCTCACTCAGCAGATCTGTCAAGGAAGGCAGGGCGTGGCCATCTTGGGGTGTGATCACTGGCACCTGAGAGCGACCCTGGTGACCCCGTGACCCTCATTTCACTGATCCTCCTTCATGGTCTTCTGATTAGCACAAACGCCACGCGCTGTGGGTTCGATACCCGCCCAATTTCTCATCGTCGCCCAGCTTGACGGTGGGCATCATGGGTGCCACAAGCTTCCTCGACAAAATGTCCTACGCCGCCACTAACAGAGACCGACGAGAGAGACCAAAGTATTACTACATTTTACCCTGCCCCTCTGCTCTATGTACTTAAGTTATTTTAACATGTCCTCTACATGTTAGCACAAGCTAAGGCAATAAAATGTTTACAAAAGCCGTCAGGTACCTCAGGGTCTGACACCGTATACCATCTTCTGAGAGCAACGCGAGTGTCTTTAATTTTATTGGGTGTTGCGTAAGTGCCATTTGCTGCTTGGCCAAGGACCTCATTCTGTAACAACTCTTCATGCTTGACTGGCTTCTTTATGTTAAAGGGCCGGAGATACTAGTTATATTTAATGGGCACTAACTCTCTGCTTGTCCTCGTGTTTCAGAATTCAGCGTTTCACATTCTGGTCATTTCCATTGTGTCCTACATGGAATCGCGTCGGTCTGCTGTGATCCCCGGCTGTTGAGCGACAGGTGCTGAAAGTCATGCAGAGAAGCTGTGGTGTCCTGCTGGCAGACAGCTGCGGGGCGGGATGGGTTAGAGACAGACAGTTGAGGCTAAGAACATAGATGGCAGCCAACAGGACTGACAGCATGCCGATTGGACGAGCAAACTGTCACAACTCAAACAGGTCCAGGATTGGTCAGTTATTTTCAGTTTAGTTCATATAATTTACACTGGTGCACTGTGAATACCTACAACATAGCCACAAAAAAATCCATGTCATAGGTCAATCACTGTCACATGACCACATTACACACGCAGATTGTGTTTTTTTTAGCCTTTTTCTGTTTTCCTGACCTTTTGCCAGTGAAATGTATTCGGGGTGTCAGGGGTGGTCATGCAGTGTCTATTTAGCTTTTCCCATGTGTGACAGACAAAGTTGATGATAGGGAAAGTAGTTTGAGATCTTGCCAGGGGGGCCTGCAGGATTATCTGCCCCCCCCCCCCAACACACACACACACACACACACACACACACACTAGGTATCCATATCATTCTGGGGACTCTCATTTCTATGGGCAAAACCCTAATCCCAACAGAGATAGCCTTAACCCCTACCCAGCCCTAACCTTAACCATAAGTAACCAAACAACATACAAGACTTGACACTTTTACTTTTTTGATTTCAGTTGCAAATTTTTATAAAATTCAGGGACCAAAATAATGTTCCCCGCAATGTGAAAATAACAGGTTTTTATCACATTGTGGGGACATTTGGTCCGCACAATGCAATCGATACATAAGCCACACACACTTATCTGACATGCATTAATGTGAAATTTTGACAGATATCGATAACTGATTTATTTCTGTTTAATATCGCCACTGGTGGTGAAATTTGCTGACCTAGTAGGCACAGAATGACATTACATCATTTTTTAAATTCTGTGATAAACGAAAGATCAATCTATGGATTATAGATATTTTGCAGGCCGGTATCGTGAGGCCTCTGAAAAGTGACGAATGGGCCGACGAAATCCCTCGTCTTCCACTGCGGAAAGAGGCTGTTTGTCCAGTGCTGTCATGTTATTCTGGTGGTTGTGTTTTTAACTCTGGTGCTGCTAACTTGAGCAACTTTGTTTACTGAGAAAATTGTGACCTTGATTTTGAATCACAAAAAGTCAGGATTCATATTTTACCCAGAATTGTCCAGCCCGACTCTTTTTACATTTCTGTTGCAGGTGTAGCGAGGCAAAAAAAAAATCTGAATGCATGCACAGGGCGTCCAGGCATACAGCTGCAGGCGCCCATGGGATTTGCCACTGGATGTCTGCTTCACTGCAAGTTTACGCTTGTACAAGTATCCAGCGGAGCAACTGGGAAGGTAGCACTGCATTTTGACAGCACAGATCCCTAATCTGAATCAGGTATTTTCTTCTACCAAACTCCATTATATTTGTGAGAAGCCCAACATCTCTACAGCTGATATCTCCAAAACTAAGCTTCTCCCAGTAGAACGACCTACAGGGTTGACTTTGGTCAGCTGGCTGGCATGAGATTTTCAATTCGAGTCATGTCTGCACACACATTTTTATGTATGTAAGAATTTTATTACCTTGTAAATAGTCTGTAGGGTTTGGAAACTACCCCAACGCTTTAGATGTAGCTAATTTTAAGTTTATAATGAATTAATGTATATTTGCAGAAAGTGTGTCACGCCACATCCGTGAGAGTTGACAACCCTGGACCTAGATGATTGATAGCACTAAAGCTCCTCTAAAATATATTTTTTCAGTTTTAGGGTGAACTGCCCCTTTAAATTCAGTAAGCAAGAGCTATTATCGGTGTTCATGAAGGACCTTCTTGCATTGCTTTGCATGTGTGCTGTTAACCAGCATGGTGTGGATGCAGTCCTCATCAGGTTACTATGGTGTTTTACTGCTTTCATGCAGATCTTCTCCAGTGAGTTTTTTTTACCACCAGCCTCTAGGTCTGCCAAGAGGGCGAAGCCAAGGTCAGCACTGCTGAAAATACAGAGACATCTCCCTAAAAAAAATGAACAGGCGTCATTACCGACAGATCTGGCCACTAGGAAAGTGGGGAAGCCTGTCATGTCAGCCGGCGTGCTGTTATTTCGCCATAGTGTTGGTGTCGGTGTGCTAAGGGTCAAGGTCCAGCAGAGGGGATAAGAACGAGTGGAATGTGTTCACTGCCCCTGCCTGGATTGCAGGGCAGGCATGAGACCCCTCATACCCCCCCGACACACTCCTGGCTACACAGTACCTCTGCTATACATTTGGACTGTAGCTGGGTGACACCTTGAAGGTCATGCAGAAGTGAATTGTGAATACAGGCACTGGATTATGGATCACTGGTGTTACCATGACGATGAAAAAGAACGTTTACCACCAGAGCCCCTGGAAAGCTTTCTGATCTCCATCCAGAATCCCTGGATGTTATTTTTGCCATCTACCCCCCCCCCCCCCCCCATATTTGGTTCTAGCTTTATTGATTGTGGATTACTGTCCTGTGAACAGGGGTGGTGACGGAACTTTCTGGAAGCTGGTACTATATGGGAGTCTGAAGGCTCCACAGTGCCTGGGCCTGCAGGGAGGGTAACCGAGTACGCTGCCG